GAGAGGTGGCTGGTCATCATTAGGTTTGACAGGCACATGAGACTAGTGGAAATCTCTCCCCTAAGATGTATATATAAGTCTAATGTTCACATAGTTGTAAAATATCAAGTCTTCTTTACTTCATCATATATATCCATATAATATCGTACAGAGTATATTTTCCAACATTTATCGACTTTGTTTTTTGATTGCCGACTTTGTTTATGTATGTCTATTATCACAGACATTGGAAATAATTCATGAGATTGCTTATTGAGAGGCTAGGATTGATTCTGATATGATATTGAAGAGTACTTGTCCCAACTGTTAGAGGGCTACAACGTCTTTATCTATCTACAGGTCAACTCCCATATTTTAACCACGCTAGCCATACAGAACGTAGTATATAAAACTTGATTCGTATCATCAGTTTAGGGTTGAGGTTTACCGTGCACATGCTACTCGAGTCGCATATCTGACTACTATGCGACACGCTCCAGTATCAATCTAACAACCCACACCAAAACCGTACCAACTCACAACCCTGATGATGACCCCATGAATAATTGGAACAGTAGCCTGCAACATAGCACAATTAGGCTAGACATCGTTGACCAGGACCTAATCCGAACAGGATTGCAGGATGATTTCCGTAGCGGGGTCTACTCTGCACAAATTAGTACAGAGGAACGATATTGTTGTTGCCGTTTTTTGAAGCTCGGTTGGGTTATAGTCCCTTACGGACATTGAGTAACGTTTGTATTTTCGTTTTCGGCAGTAGCCTCAGTGGCTTTCTGCTTTGCTTCTAGTTCTCGGATCGAAGTATTCCTTTCTTTTTGACTCTGCTCGCGGATCACCGACAGCTGGTCTCTTGTGCGTTGCACAGTCTTCCTGCCAGCCCGCGTTGGCCTTGTCATGCAGCTAGGCTCAGTTGCGGCATGTGTCCCATGGCAATTTATGCACCTTGGAACAAGCTGTTTACTGTTAGAGTATAGAGAAGACTTCGGAGTAATAATTGCCTGAGAACGGAGAAGAAGTTCAGTTTGCTTAATTGACTAATAGACTACAGGTATTATGATATATACAGTGGAATTACAAGGAAGAAAGGTTATCCGGAACCGACTCGAATGCAGAAATGAGTAAGATCCCAGACCAGAAAAGAATTATCCACTGACTCAGAATACTGGATCATGCAATAGAAAATACGAACAAACCAATGACTGGATTTGTGTCACGGTTTCAGTACAACATGCTTGGGCGATCTTGTAGGTACAGTATATTAATTATAATTCTCTAGAGAGAGAATTCCTATAGCTAGAATACAAATATATATACACTCTGAGATACTCCTCTTCTGTAAGGTTCTCCCTATATCTGGAATAACATGGAATCCTCGACAATACCCTAGAAGATTCTTGATACACCTGTGGTCCTCATGAACCTTCAGTATGCTTCCAGAAAGTTCATTGAGAATCTTCTAAGCTCCTTGTATTCCGAGATCCTTCCCGAAGATTCCCTTGCATTCATTGCCTGCGCTAGCCAGCGTAGGCTACAGGAATCCCTAGGCTTAACAGCCGTTACAATTTGTTCAGGAAGAATGGGATTCAAGGAGACTCTAACGTTGAGTCCGATTGAATAAGAAGTATGGGATCCTGCCTGTCCTCAGAAATGTAGTTCAGGCAAGATGCATGCAACCACATTGGTCGATAGAAAGAAAAGCAAGAAACTGTATTTCCAACATTTACACTCAGTAGCTTTGTACTCAATTGAGCCACAGCGGGAGCAGCACTCTGCTCGTGAACAAATCTTAGATGGGTGTTGTCCCCAGCATCGGTTACATTGCGCAATTCTAAGCTTGCGATGTAGTTCGTGAAGGCGTCCGCTTTCTTCAAACAGTCTTCCTACAAGCTTTAGTTTTCTTATTTCGAAGTACAACACCCAGTCTATTGACGGCCTGGCCATGCTTGTTGCGAAAGCACGAGCCGAGGTTGGTCTAACTCCTGTTTTGAGAGCTGCTTCTTCTATTACCATCTCTAGTGTCACTATGGTGGGCCCTTCCAGAGTGTATAGCTTGCCCAGGATACTCGGTGCTAGTACTGAGATCCAAATGGAGGCGGCTTCCAATTTCATTTCAGAACTATCTAAGATGGCTCCTCCTAAGAGAAGTGCACCTCTCGCTCCTTACCCTTCGGCTTGTATTGCTAACCATGAGTTCACGACAGTGACTTGTTTAATTGTCGAGTTGGCGAGACGCAGCTTGCTAGCCAGGCTTATTTTCACGAAGTGGGGTGACATACGTCTCCACGGGTGGTCAGGTCTGGGGCGCGAGAATACGCGCTCGTCAGGTCGTTGAGGGTTTGTTGCTGAAGCTTTAAGCTTCAGCGTAGAGACGGGCCTCATTGGTACTGTCTTGGGTGTGTAAGTTGGAGCCGCTTGGTTTGATGGTTTCTTTCTTTTTCCCAACACCTCGGTCCAATATTTCTCCGTGGTTTTGTTGTCGGTTTTGTTTGAGCCCTGATTAGGCTGGAGAGTTGCTGTTGTGGCTGACGGCCTTAATGGTGCCGGTCTGTTCTTTCCTCTGGCAAGGATCAGCACTGGACGTGTGACACTTGCAGGGTTTTGTTTTGGAGGCTCTATTACTTGAGCCGGATTGGATGGGTTGAAATGGCTACTTGCAGCCTTTGGGGAAGCGTAGGCGTCTGCTTGAGATGGGTTGCCCCATAGAACTTCCAAGATCTTGCCCTGAAGGGCCAGTAAGTCCTGATCAAAGATTTTTCGAAGTCTCTCGTCAGTGACTGGTTTCAGCAACTTGCAGAACCCGATGATGAGACGCTCTGCTTGTGTAGAGCGAGTCTGGAATATCCTGCCCTGTTCGGCGAGGAATCGTTCGCGATAATTTGAGGCGACGGAGATTGTTGACGGAGTGAGTTTGGATGACTCGCCTCGTAGATTGACTCTACAAATTGTTGTGTTAGTGGATGAGATGGTGGTTGTGGCCTGTTAAAGACCATTTTGACGTGTTGACGCGTCGAACATTGAGTGGGGAGGGGGGGCAGGGGCCAGGCTCTGCGGAAGACAGGGGCGGTATGAGTGGTAGATTAAGTCGTATAGTATATGCTAACGTTCTAGCGGACAGCTGTTTTTGTTTTGTTTTGTTTATTAACGTGCTAGGTATAGTGGTTCCCGTTGCACTCCTACTGGAGCTTAAGCATGGGTGAGGCGGGGCCGGATCAGGTTATCTACCGTAAAGTACAAGTGCCTCGTCCCACCTAAATGAGCAGACCACCTCACACTTCACCCACGTGTTGAATCATGTCAAGCCCAACCGTCCAGAAAACCTTCTTTCGACGCGCCGAAGCGCAAATTCCTCCTCAGCTCTGCCACCACGCGCCCGAGCCCTTGACATCCTCATTGACATCCTCATTGACATCCTCATTGACTCCGAAATATAAGTGCTGTCCAAGATCTCATCGTTGCTCTAGCCTTACACCTTCATATCGCACCACTGGGATGTTTTCGTAATCGGGGATTTGTGTAATCCCCTCAGCGTATCTTCCCTTTTCTTTCCCCTTTGGACACGTCCTATTTCCATCATGACTTTCCTCATTAGGGTATGTATAGATAGATGATGTGACGAGTATGGAGGCGGGTCGCAGGTGTAGAATCGACTGAGAAATGCTTCGTCGCAAATATATAAGGAGTTTGAGAGATGTTACATGTTTGAATACGACTCCCAGACAGACCTAGGCCCGTTCGTGAATCGTATGTTGGTGGTGATAAGTTTTTGTTCGACTTTGTTCCGGCTGTGAAATCTCTGCCGACTGATTTATCGACCAAAATATCGAGTGCAACTCCTTCAAGTCAAAAATACAGCAAATAAAAACCATCCCATCCTTTTTCGTGACTGAATCTCGGCTCTGGTAAAATATTTCACTCCCAGGTTCGTGGAGAGCACCGCTGACAGGTATTCAGCCTTCGTCTTCCTGGCGGACAGCTGTTCGGACTCCTTTGTAATTTTCTGCGTAGGCTGGGTATCGCATACACTTGTACTTATAGCGCACATCACGTACCCTTTCAGCTGTAATACGAACATGGCACTCTTTTAGTCAACTTCTTTTTTCGTTCCAGAAATATTGCGCCCACTTCATCGCGCAATTTTTCCAACTGAGATCTCTTATAGTAGCTGAACAGGATTGGAACGATGTACGAGGTGTGGCCTGAGTCAGAAAGGACCTCAATGTGCTAGATGGTCTATAACGCAAGTAGCACACTAAACACCTAGATAGCTGAATACACATTAAATGATTCAAAAAAAAAAAAAAAAACACTAAACACTTGCTCCGCTTTTTTAACCTTCTTTTATGGTTTGCACCTCAGGAAAAGTGAGGGGTAACAATGAAATGCCAAAAAATGCATGTAGAGAGTTTTTACTATGAATTATCCTAGCTTAAGTCCCTTGTGCTATCCCAGGTCGTGAAGTGCTCCTTAAACTTACGGACAATCAAAGTCCTGCTAGCCAGCGTGTTCGGAAAAATTACAAGCAGAGGCGCTTTGAGTTTTGTAAATAGTGCATGTAGAAAGAACACAAGGCATGTAGGCTTTTAATCAATAACTGTCTCTTTTTATTACACCTTGGGTTTGTTGTCCCCTATCTTGAACGACGAAGTTGATGGCCTCTCACCCCTGCCTCTGCGCTTACTAAGCGTTTACCATCCAAGTTGTTCTCGGGGATGGGAGCAAGGCTAGTGGGTAGCGAGCGATAAGCTAGGCGAGTTGAACTTCCTCAAACTGCGCCCGCGTGCATGGATATGAGAGGAAAAATGTGCTATGGAAACCGATTGGACCGAGGTTGCTCCCGCTACATTCAATATATTTCCTTTCCATTCTTCAAGCTTGACTAACGTTTATTGCAGAATTATCTTATTGATTCCACCACAAGACTTACGTATCTCATACGATAATCTTCGCCATTAAATTCCTGTATATAATTCAAGAATAGGACGACGGCTTATTAAAGAATCATGATTAGTTCATTACACCAAAAGCTGCTTCCGAGAAGAAGCATCGTAGGCAAAGTTCTCACGACGCGGCTTGCAGGCGGATTTTTTCAGGCCAAATATTTGTCTAGCAGTAGAGTTCTATCTAGCTTACCTCATAGCTCGCTGTACTCACGAATATCATATTTGCCTTCATCTTCCTGTCTCCAACGACTATTCAGTGGCTACCCGGCAAAGCAAGTCCAAAATACAAGACAGCCCGAATCCACCTCAACACAGTTAGTTATTCCAGAAAATCTGAATCCGGCGGAGAAAGAAATCTATCAGCTCTTAGCCCGTGAGCTTGAACCTTCAGTCCTCAAAGTGCAGGATATCAGCGGTGGGTGCGGTAGTATGTATGAAATTCACGTTGTCAGTGCGCGATTTCGGGGGTTACGAATGTTACAGCAACAAAGACTGGTTAATAGCATACTTGGAGACATGCTCAAGAAGTGGCACGGAATGCGATTAACCACTAGTGATACATGACAAGTAGTTTACAAGCTACCTAGAGACAAGGCTCAACTGTACAACAATTTTCACTTTCCAACATTTCCACATTCAGTATTATTCCGAATTTAGAATGTCCGCCTATTCACCCTGACTCATTTGATTTTTTACGGCGTAAGAGGTGACTTGGCTTGTTTGTGCACGTCTAGATTTGGACATGTCGTTGCATATCCCAAGGCAATGAACAAGACAACCATTAATTTGGATAACCACCATTCGCCATCCAAAGATATCCAGCTAGTTAAGTAAACAAGCAGCTTGTGTCTGTTAATCACAACAAAATTTGTGTTCTAACCACTGGTTTGAATTGCAACTAAACCCCCAATAATCTACTTGAATGCAAATACTCTGGGTATTCAAAAGTGAAGGCACGATTCTATATTCTCACTGTTTGTTCTTTATAGAAATCTTGATTATTCATAATATTCGTAGCTTGCTTAGTAGTACTCGGCAACTTAGATCTTGTTCGATTTAAAGTTAGTGTGAAATGAGGCAAGAGTGAACCTCTTCCAAGGCATATGAAGACCTTAGTGATAAGAGTAATTTCCAAACTAATATAAGCGGCAATAAGACCGAAGATGAAATCAGGTACAAACACTGCAATTAAATATAAAAGAAACAGTGTTACTGCTCTGTAGATCATGAAAAATCGGACACGAGGATTAGTCAAGTGTTTAGCATAGCAATGCCCAAAATAGGATTCGGGTTTCGCCTCATAACATAACTCTAATTGATAGCTTTAGCTTTATAACGTATTAGACATGTCACATAGATATCTGGATTGAAGAAGGGCTTGTTTGAGAAGTGTGGAAGGGTTTTGTCCGTTCATATAAACTACTCTGTGCACAACGTGATACTCGTGACTTATTCGCTAGCCAAATGGCTTCTAAATTAATGTGCCCCCTGAATGTGCATAGCCAGTGTATCATTTCTATCATCCGCTCAAGTGGCCACTGTCACTGCTACCATTGAATTTTGGTCATGTCTCAAAGTTCCCAGGAAGCTGCGACAGCGAGATACAAAGCTTTGAAAGAAGATTTCGTGTCCAACCTTACGGGCGGCACCATTAGCGAAATCAACTACGTGACTGCCGTAGCACCCGTACGTAGCCGTGCCCCTACACTTAATCCGTCCTCGACACAAACAGGTCATGGTCAGCTAAACTTACTCTCGGTCAATGGTCATAGGTAGCAGTTATACTCTGGTCTATCTTGCAATCGCGTCACGGCCTTTTCAATTCGCCGAATGTCTGGACAATCACAACTGATTTCCTCATTAATGTCGTGGCCATTCTACTCGCTACAACGCTGTATGCCTTCAATCCGCTATTGCTCAGTATTCTTCTCCTAGCACCCGCTTGCCTCCTCTTGCTACTCCCGCCTCTCGCAAAGCCGCAAAAGAAGACGAATCTCAAGTCTTTGAAGAGAGCAGGTCTTCAACATGAAGTCGTTTCACCGACGGATCCTCGCTATCGCCTACCGAAGCGCCCTTTCTTAACCATGTATCGTGGGAGCATGCTTGTAATTACCTCTCTGTCTATTCTATCCGTGGACTTTCGCATTTTTCCTCGACGTTTCGCCAAAGTTGAAAACTGGGGCACGTCCTTGATGGACGTAGGCGTTGGCTCGTTTGTGTTTTCGGCGGGTATTGTGGCCATGCGCTCGATCATACTATCAGAAAACCAGCAGGCAGGTCTCTTTAGAAGATTATTGAAATCTGGGCGGCATAGCCTGCCGCTGCTGGTCTTAGGCCTCCTACGGCTTTGGAGTGTAAAGGAGCTAGACTACGCAGAACATGTGTCCGAATACGGGGTACATTGGAATTTCTTCTTTACTCTCGGTCTCCTACCTCCCTTTGTCACCCTCTTTCAATCAGCATTCCGCTATCTACCTTCGTATGCTGGGCTCGCAGTCGTGCTCGCAACTGCCTATCAGCTTGCATTAGAATACACTAATCTCAAGGCATACATATTGGTCGCGCCGCGAGTAGATCTTTTGAGCATGAATCGAGAGGGAATATTCAGTTTCATCGGATACCTCGCCATATTTCTCGCCGGGCAAGGAACTGGTCTCTTTGTGCTGCCGCGACATCTCCTCCCCACTAATACCTCGGGCTGGCAGCAAAGGAAACAGCTCTTACTTAAACTCATTAGCTGGTCAATATTCTGGGTAGTGCTATTCATATTCAGCACCAATAGAGTCTACGGGCTTAATTTACAAGTATCACGTCGCCTCGCAAACTTACCCTACTTCTTTTGGATTGCCGCATTCAACTCTTGCCAACTGACTGTATTCTGCCTTGTGGAAACGCTTTTATTTCCCGATGTCTGGAAGTCAATGAACTGTTTGTCGAAAACGGAGGAAGAAGAGTTATATCGTGGCGCTACTAGTCGGATTCTGGATGCCTTCAATCGTAACGGGCTCTTTGTATTCCTTGTAGCCAATTTGTTAACAGGTGCCGTGAATTTATCCATTTCGACGCTGCAGTGTGGACATAAACTTGCCTTTTCTATCCTAGTCGTGTACGGTGCCTTAGTTACGAGCGTGGCTTTGTTCTTGGACAGGTTGGATGTCAGTGTAAAAATATAGGCTTTATTGATTCGATCTTCATAATAATGGGAAGATCTGATGTCATACATTGTGTTAGTCTAGCGCAAAACTTGAGTCCAGCTTACTCGATGGCTTGGAAAGGTGAGAATGTACAAAATGGAGTTCCTACTTTTACGGCTGCTAATCCTAGCTTCCCAGCTTTCGTTATCAGCAATAATGCGGCATTCGTCCCAAGATTCCCAAAATAACTGTGTCATCATTTCCCTCAAGTATCTACTGGATCTGACTGGCTGAGAGTAATGCTGACAGTTACTGGTTAGTTAGATAGGTCAATTGACAAAGTGGGCGTGCCAGGGCTATGGATGTGGCTCTCTCCAATTAGGATGTACACGTATTAACCTTTTGATGTGCATTCGGCTATGTATTCATGAAACATGAACAGTGCAAAGTGTACTACCTATATGACTGTATGTTTAAGAGACGTCTAAACTATGGAGTATATTGACTAATTCCATCATGAGGTATGTCTATATAGAACACTCGACTCTCCTTCGTGAGTACCCTTCAGGAGAGCAATGGCAAAACACCCATCTACGGTATCCTCTATGAGCCTAGAAGTGACATATTCACTCAGAGCCATGTCCGGTCATATTTTACAATACCAAAGACGTTAGCCCAAGAGGCAACGATTCAAATTATTCCACCATTTCAAGTTTTCCTTCCCAACTAGATCGATTCCTACCTAAGCCTCATAGAGTCTGCTAGTACGATCGAGTATATCCTCACTTCAATGGCCACTTCTCTCGTTAACTATTCTCTGGTCTCATATAGCCATCAAATATACCCCCAGGTCAATTTGAATATTCACAGGAAGGCAAAACCCCTTTGTAAAAAACATGGAAAGCAGATCTTTAGGATGAACGAGAGAAATCAAGACAAGTTTACGAGATGATGGAAAGGAAGAATACAATCTTGACGAGCATGAAATTTCCAATCTTGGCAAAGAGATTTACACATTAAAGTGTGTTGTGTGCTCCAATACTTTGAATGCGAGAGTGCGTCTGACGCTATAAAACAAGCTAACAGTGAAAGGCGCCGTGTTCCTCTTCCTAGTGGTGTTATCAAGTACAGTATGTGTAGCCTTGGCACTTTCTCCACTTGGGAAGGAGACGCCTCAGACCACATTTCACACAGAGACAATTAAATGGATGATGGAGGCATGTCTGGATAACTCAGGTATTTGGAGATATTTCTCTGAGTAAGTATTCACGGATGAGGGGGTTTTTTTAATTCATTAAGTGTCTGCAGCCTAACTAGGTAAGACACAAGAATGAGGGTTTACTTGGGGTGAATAAAATGCAACCAAACTTTTCCGTGGTACTTGCGAAGGAGATCCGAGGCAAGAGTGCTCTGGCTTCAAATTGAGTCATCTATTCAGTACTTTATCTCTGGCAAAGTGATAAAGCTAGATAACTGCACACGTATTGAAAATCTGAACAAAGAACTAAGTTTTGTAACAGTAATCACCTAGATCTTTTTATAAATCATATTTGAATTGGATCTAATAATGTTAATTTGGTGCCCCATGAGCCCGTGTAGGAGCTTGAGATTGTAGTGACGAGAGGTTAAGACGAGTAGTATGATACTTAAGAATATCAGACCATGAGAATATAAAATTGGGAAGCTGGAGAACTAATTTTTTGAAATTCCAGCTTCCCCACGTACAACTAAGCTACGACATAATATTTAACTGCGGCTACAGCAAGATTTGATCATTGAAGGACGAAGGCTGAACACCTGTCAGCGGTGCTCTCCACGAACCTGGGAGTGAAATATTTTACCAGAGCCGAGATTCAGTCACGAAAAAGGATGGGATGGTTTTTATTTGCTGTATTTTTGACTTGAAGGAGTTGCACTCGATATTTTGGTCGATAAATCAGTCGGCAGAGATTTCACAGCCGGAACAAAGTCGAACAAAAACTTATCACCACCAACATACGATTCACGAACGGGCCTAGGTCTGTCTGGGAGTCGTATTCAAACATCTAACATCTCTCAAACTCCTTATATATTTGCGACGAAGCATTTCTCAGTCGATTCTACACCTGCGACCCGCCTCCATACTCGTCACATCATCTATCTATACATACCCTAATGAGGAAAGTCATGATGGAAACAGGACGTGTCCAAAGGGGAAAGAAAAGGGAAGATACGCTGAGGGGATTACACAAATCGAAGATGACGACAACAACCTAATGGTACGATATGAAGGTGCAAGGCTAGAGCAACGATGAAATATTGGACGGCATTTATATTTCGGAATCAATGAGGATGTCAAGAGCTCGGGCGCGTGGTAGCCGAGCTGAGGAGGAATTTGCGCTTCGGCGCGTCGAAAGAAGGTTCTCTGGACGGTTGGGCTTGACATGATTCAACACGTGGGTGAAGTCTGATCTTGCCCGACCCCACCCGTGCTTAAATTCCAGGAGGAGAGCAACGGTAGTCACTATATCTAGCACGTTATTGAACAAAAAAATTCGATGATAAATTCAGCCCCACTGACTCTAACTGTTAGAGTTTTCCTGAAGACCTTCTTCAAGGATGTCTGGCAAGAACATTGACCATCAGGAAGTGTTATTACTCTACAGTGCCATTCATGCAAGCCAATAACATGCTCTCTATCGACCCCAACGATTACCCGCCCTGCTTATTTACCTCAGAAGCATTTTGATGGCCATTTTTATCTGGAATTACTCTATCCAACCATGGTTTAAAATGATACATGTAATTCTTGATGTCGCTAGGATTATCCATCATGGCTTCAAATCCCCCCTCTACCATTCAACCATCGAGAACGAGGCGTGATCATGTGTTTTGGGTTCTGTGATTGATGTTGTTACGGTTAGAGCGGAGTTTAGCTTAGGTGGAGACCTAAGTTGAGCTTCGGGACGCAGTAAGGAGAGAATTTCATTTTATCTTGTACCAAGCGACCTAGTTTCACTTCGCCAAGCTACATTGGGGCTGGGAAGGAATGTGAGACGGCGAAGTACAATTACCAAGTGAGAGGGTCAAGCTAGATGGCAAAGTAGGATAACAACTGCCAGTGGTGGAGCAATATGTCATGCTCACCAGCAGAGTACGAACTGGATGAGCTGGAAGGATGAACAAATAGCCATTATCCGTAGTTTTGTTACTTCTTTCTTCACATAGTTTAATCTTTCTAAAATTACACCACAGCCAGCTTGGTTTCGTGACAGATAGCGACGTTGTCAGCATGGGCTGTATTCAGGTTTGGGGTCTGCGATAGCAATTGATCGAGGTTATTGGACCTGCCTTTGAGTTGACCGAGATTCTGCCATTTCATGTTCAAATGCGACCTTTTCAGCCTCTTTTCGCCGTCTTTCAAACCGGTATCCACCCCAAAATTACCACTCATTTTGCCAGATTTTATCTTCTGTATTTTGCTGGAATGGCTACTCTGCCTTGTGTGAGTGATGTTTATTGTATTACTTGAATCATAGACTATCTAGCACATTGAGCTCCTCTCTGACCCAGGCCACTCCTTGTATAGTGCTCCTTGACTCTTTTGTTACTCGAAAGATCATTGATATATTCCCCATGATGAATAGCCATCCAGCTCAGTATTTACCCATGGTATTTAGCAACCTTTGCCACGGAACCTTCTACCCAAACAAAATAAAAAAGGTAGTAATGGAAACTGCATGCGCCGGAAAAATGTCTCAAAAACCTGAAGCCCCAGCCAGGCGAGGCCTAGACATCGGGACCACACGAGGTGCGTATGTTCATCTATATCTCCCTTCTTTGTAACATTCGAGGCCAAATTGATCCAATCCACTATATCCGTATCGGGTGCTGGGTACGCTCCGGAACCTCATCGGATGGCTTCTCCTCCATGATCAAGGGTTGGTGATGAGTAGGGCTCCGACCCTACCATCTGATCTGATCGTGGTTAGCTTCATAATAATGGTGATAGGGGAATGTGTTGAGAGATGAAGACGATACAGACGGCGAAAGCGAATGGGAATCCTCATCGAAGTGAGGACTTTGTTACTCAATCTCGGCTCTGCAGACTCTACAGTGAGAGCTGGAGTTTTGTAGGGGACATCACTGATAGGTGTTGAGAATAGCCCCCCTACTCTACCTTGTTTAGGTAGCATGATTTTATGACAAGTGGATTTTGTAATTTTTTTAAATTGGTACGTTCTTTCAGCGGCTAAATAATTGGAGCCTTTATTGCTTCAGGTAGATTTCTATTGGCAAGGTCACAATTTCACTTTCGGACACTCTCCTACTGCCCGATCTGTAAGCTCCTGCGACTATTTTGAAGTAATTCCTTTGGATGCTTGCAAGGGGATTGGGTATCCTCTTAGGTTTTCTACCATCTGCTACGCCCTAAATCAGGGACCCATTCGTCAAGGCCGGTCTCACTATCGCGTTGTACCACAGCTTTGCATTGTGGAATGTGTTCGTCCACTCATTACCCGAACCTGAGTTTCTGCTTTCAGCTCTATACTTTTAACGTGCCCTCCACTCATCGCAACAGTCAATATTTATCGGTATATTGCTATATGAATTACCAGAGAACAGATATTTTTATTAAGTAACTACAAGTCTTTTGTAGTTTTTGAGAGCCTGGTTGATTGTATGGAACCGGATGATGTCATATTGGCTTCGCACTTGGATTTGAATATCCTGTTTGAAACATATTTTTGAATTTGATTTCATTAACCTGATTTGGCGCCCTATGGGCCCATGCAGGTGGCTTTAAACTCTATTTGTGGGTATTTTACATGAGGGGGAAACCTTCCGATAAAAACCCCCTACTCCTTCAAATTATGTCTGTGTTTCTTCGTTAACCTACAGGAAGCGCAATTGGCCATTAGTTCGAGACAGAACTAGCTACAGTATACCTCAGCATCCTTCCCTTTTCCTCGCGTGTTGAAATGGATGCTTGTGGTCTTGAAGTTGACGCCGATGGTGTCGATAGTGGTTGTATTGCCGGGACTAGGGTCTGTTTCCGCGGGCGTCCTGGTACCCTTTTCTGGCCTTCTACCCTTTGGTTGGACACCAGTGTAAACCCCTAGTTGTCTACTATTTTTGCCGTTAGTTTATTTTGAGGTGCCGTTGGTGTAAATTCCTCTCGTCTTAAGTCCGCCGTTCTCTCCATGAGTCCATACCGCGCCCTCTGGACGCTGGCCTTGTATTCCGCGAAGTTCTGACACGCCCCCTTCTGCCACGACATATAGGCTTTACCGCAGTTGCAGCAAAGCATTGATTTCTTCGGGAAGTCCCTGGTCTGATGGGTGCCCGCACACCCTCCACATCTCCTTGCCTTATTGCAAGAGGCTTGGGTATACCCCCATTGACTGCAGTTGAAGCACTGCTTGATTTGTGCTCGGGGTGACCAGAGCTGGGCCGTGTACAGCATTGAGTTGAAGACAATGCCGTTTCTTATAACTTCGCGTTGATGTGCCTCTATCGGTAGGCTCGCTACTACTGACCCTCGAGTATGGCCATTTTTTCTCATCCATTGGTGCTCCTTGCCGTCGAAAAGCCACCTGACCCTGCTGATTTTAAGATCGGGAATCCGAACTTTTGTCTCCTCCGTCATTTGATCTATCAATGTGCCGTTGTTGGCAACTTTTCCTCCTCATATTATTGTCCCTAATGGGACTCCTAAAATCTCAACAGGATAATCCTGCTTCAAGACGCAGAACTCCTTCGGCTGTGCCATCCTCAAGGCAGCGTCTCGTTGGGAGACCGACTGCACATACACCTCAGTGTCGTTGCTCCGTAGCCGCCTAACGACGTATGCTCCTTCGATATGTTATTTCGCCTTGTAGAGCAGCTCTGCCGGCTGCATCTTTTCTGCTCCTTCAACTCTAATCCGTACTGCCGCTTTGGTGGCTGGCGGTGCGACGATTGATGCATAGGTGGGTCGACCTCCCATTGTTTGTGCCGACTGAGGAGCTGCCTTGCGCGCCGGCTCCTCAAGACTCTTCTTAACTGCCTTTTCTAAGGCCAGCATCCTTTCCTCCATAGATGTTACCAATAGCTTCGATCGTAGCGTCTCAGCGTGGTTTTTGAAGGCTTCGATAACCTCACCTATCTCCGTCATCGGTGCCGCAGATTTGTCAGTGCCTGCGATAACCAGTTTGTCTCGAACTTTACTTAAATGGTACCCTACAATCTTAAGTTTATCCATGTCGACGCCTGTAGATGTCGCGAGAGAACCTACAGCCATAATTGCGGCTGTTCCGCTGTCCGTTGGGGGTTTGGGTGGTGTCGTGAAAATTTTTCCAGCCGTGAAAACCACATTTCTGGTTCCCCACTCCGCCATGCCGAAGCGCAGCGCGAAAAAATCGGGGAATCGGATAATAAGGGTCAATTAAGATAGTAGCATTTAACGAAACGATGAAATAACGTTAGTGGAAAGTTGTGCCGCTTTTGACCAAATGATGATGTTTTTCTGTTTGTAACATATTAGTTTATCCTTTTAGAATATTCTATAAAATAGAAGAACCATTGAACAACAGTAGACCCCACAGGAGTATATTACCCGAGACTACAAACATTATTATCATTAATTATTGCCATTGTTGGATGGGTTATGTATCACGTACGTGACGAGCAGATGCAGAGACAACTGGATGTAAATAAATTCACTGTTATTCTATTCTAGTTTGATAAGCCAATATCTAACTAGTAGCACGTGTGCGCGTCTAGCTTACGTGAGCCAACGGATCAACTATTCTCCAATGTTACGCCGACAGTTGGATATGGTGGATAGCGACAGCCATTCCTTATTCTTCAATTTTATAGGAGATGTAGGTCCCCTGCCTACAAGAGAAGGATTCTTATGCCAGTATTATTCCCCTTCACGGGTTGGATGGTGCAGTGGTACACCATCCGGGCCGTTCTCCCAAGTAGATTCTGGGTAGCTTGAACACCTACCCCAATCGAGACAGGAGAAAGCTGGTTCGAATCCAGTCAGACCCACGCACCACTCTCTCTCGCGGTGATATTGTACTTGTGGGATGATGAAAGCACACTTGGACAGCCACAGGGTTTTCACGCTTTTCCCTGCGGTGAGTTTACACGGAAGAGGTTATACGCCGTGAGGGTTAATCTCGAATAGTATCTGCAAATGAAATCTGAGTGTGAGTGTTCTAATCGTCAAATTGAGTCATCCTACTTAAAGTACATATCTTCCGATAAAAACCTGCATGGGCCTCAAGGCGCCAAATCAGGATAATGAATAATTATTATTATTATTATATCTCCTTCATGCGTCTCACACCATTCCCCTCAAATTGTGCTACCCCCATAAGACCTGATTCAATCATGCGCCTTGAAGAGCTTTTTGCCCTTCATTATCTCAACTCTACAGCAGGCGTGATGATGAACATTAGCGGGCGCGTGGTAGCCAGAGACGCAAAAACCACTAGATACGGGGCTCTCCCAATATTCACATCAGGACTAAATCCGAGTGCAAAGCTATCCATCTGAAGCTTTCAAAAAGGGGTTAGGCAGCTGGGCGCTGCAAGCTTGTAGGTAGCTGGGGAAATCCACACTCTACCTTTCTAGCCTGCTTATAACTAATTTCAGAAAGTCGGGTTGAAGTGTCGTAAAATTCTTGATAGGATGCGATTGTGAAGTAGCCTAGCCCTTCTTCTTAAGTGCCGTACGGGGTGGCAGGGTTTGCCGTATACTCATTGAAGATACAGGTCCTCCTGGCTATTTACTCTTAGTCTTAGCCACGGCGCCTGTAATACCCCGAATCAAAAACCCCTCAAAATTGCCCGTCCCAGCATGCAATTTGGTGGCCTTTTCCGTTTATTATTTGACGTCCTAGCAAGTTATCCTTCCTCATGCTATAGTGGTCCATTAGAGCTACGGTCCCCATGAATTAAAATCCGAGCTTTGTACATTGTGAATTATTTCCTCCATACAGGTATGCGTTGCGTTGTAATTTTGATAGTGGGCGATGGCTGGTACTTGATGGCGCAACTTCACATTTTTAGTTTGAGCAACTCCTTTATCGGTTGCTAAGTCGAGATGATAAGTGGTTGGTTAGAGGTTAAGGACTCACAAGAATAGTAAGACCGATATTACTGAGAATCCATCAAGTATAGATATGTTCGTGTCTGCATTTGACTTAAATTGTTCTTGGATATCCCAGATATTCAGAGCAGACTGATCGATTGCACCGGATCCACTGGAAGGTGCATAATTCGTCTTCGCAGGCAAATATTCTGGGTTGAATCCCAGCAATGGCCAAGCCTGTCAAAGTCACCAAGGTCGTAGAGGAAAAACAAGGATACTTTGAATTGCCTAATTTGATAATGTATACTTAGGTGTATGGTATAATGGCACGCCTTGACGCGACGTGTATCGTTCTTCCGAACTTAGCAACTCTATGTTTGTGCACGTCGACAGGGCCTTTCAGAGTTACATAGCGCGTCATTATTTCTGTATAGTATAAACTATTGCCCCGACCCCCCGCAGCAACTTATTCAGACATACCTTGCCAGTAATCAAGTATATCAATTTGAAGTGGCAACTTGAATCAAGAATTTAGGGATTTGGAAAGAGGAAAGCCATGCAAACGACCAAAAGGAAATTTAACGCACTGCTGAACAGTATAGGCTCGCGTCCTTCATCCAGCTCAAAAGATTCGAAAGATCTCTTGCAAACGCGATCAAAAATATCTCCATTGAGCGAAGAATTACTGTCTAAGAAGCGACGGGTCAGCGCCTCGGCTTCAAACCAAGGTTTGCAACGTCTAGAGGTCTCAGGGCTGATACCGCTATCCTCAGACCAAGATATCAGACTCATGCATTCAAAAGTAACCATCAATTCAGGGGAATCGCTCAAATATGCCCCCTGGGACAGAGACGAATTTCTCAAGCGTCTTCAGTCCTTTTCAAACATCTCATACTGGACGCCAAAACCTCCGCGAGTGAACGAAGTGCAGTGGGCCAAGAGAGGATGGATCTGCCAGAAATTTGAAAGGGTCCGCTGCTGCTCATGCAACGTTGAGATTATTGTGAAACTTAATCGAAAGGAGGTAGATGGAAAGGAGCAGCCTGTTTATGTGGCCCACGCCATAGGTATCTCATCCTTTTCAGTTTTTTTTCACCACTAACATATGAAAGAGGATGAGCTAGTCAATAAGTATGTCGATTTAATCGTTAGTTCACATCACGAAGATTGTTTATGGAGAAAACGTGGCTGTGATGATTCTATATTCAAATTGCCACTTCATCACCCAGCAACTGTCTTGGTAGACTTGAAGCAAAGGTATGAGGAATTGAAAGCAAGCGGTCAACATCTACCATATTTGCACAACTTGAGGCTTCCGGATGCATTTGACTTGGAGAGAACAATACAACAGCTCCCTAGCGACTTTTTGTGTTCACCCAACAAATCCGACCAAATAAATACGACGGAGGTAGATAGGGTTGCCTTTGCCATGGCATTAGCTGGATGGCAAGGGCATAGGCATGTTCAGTTTGGACTGCAAGTCACCTCAGCATCCTGCCAGGCATGTTTTAGGGTTCTAGGACTATGGATCTTCAGAAGCAAGGAAATGAATGAAGCAGGAGAGGAATTATTAGGTGCGACGATGAACTGTCTCGACGTAGTCGGGGAACATCGCGCATACTGTCCATGGAGAAATCCAGCCTCACAGAATGGATATAAAATTGATGAGCCACGCAGTGATGCTCTGCCTGGCTGGAAAATCGTCTTACGTGTAATAAACAATGAGGTATTATTAAGCAAACAGCAAGTCCAAACAACAATGGCTCCTCGAAGAATAGGAGAATCTTACGATGAATCTAATGATGTAGATACTTCTAGCACTCGTAGCGCCAAGGACAAAGAGATAAAATCCAGACTTATGCGGGTTCGAAGCCTCTTCGATCCGAGCAGTGCAAGAAAAAATATCAAGAATGGACTTCGTCACCGAGTTAAGCAAACGAATACTTAGTTCTTTATTACAAGACGTCTGTCGAAGGCTATCTCCAAAACCTGTCTAAAGAGCTAAAATTAATACGTGACCAAAATTAGAGCTATCCTACCTGAAAACAATTCATAGGTTAAAGCAACCATTCTTAAAATCAAGAGTAGAAACACCTCAGAAATGATTCGGGTTAGGAATAGTTTCAGAAACAGCTGTGACAGAATCTTTGGGAAAGACAGATATCAATAAAATAAGCTACTTCGGCTTCAACAGTCAAAATTACGAAATCTACTTGTTATACATCAAGACTAAGACTTCAGGACTCGAGCTTTTACAAAGTGACCCATGATTTCAACTGCTGAAATCTACTTATGGATTATGTGCCTCATAGAGGACTTATTCACTAAATATTGCAGCAAAAACTGCCTTCTTACTGGCTTAGTGTCCTATTATCCGAAAATTTACCATATTTTCAATATTAAGACAATAGTTGGCATTGACAAAATTAATAACTATTTCCAAGGGATCCAGTACTTATAACAAACATTTGCTACCGCCGAAGTGTCTCGCAATAAAACAACCATACTGGGAGAAGTTAGTACTATTTTTAATAAAAATATCAAATGAAGACAAATTTTATGATATATTTCGCATTTTTATAAACTCAAATTCTCTATTCAATGGATTTACTTAAATAAAAAAGTTTGCTATCAAAAATGATACTTTCTGACAAGGCTGATCCAGAGTAAAACACTGTACAGAACACTATACTTAGTGGCCTATTAGTCCTAAGACTGAATTAAACTTGTATATCTACCAGAAGTATAGAAATATAGGGATATTAAACCAATCTCTTAAATCAATGATATAATTTTTAGTGAAGTCAGTACAGGATAGAGGCTTGGCGTTTAGAAGGGTTATTTAAAAACAACGGCTTGTATATGGATAGGAACAGGCTTTTGGAAATTATGATCACTTAATCTCACAAAAGGTTTACTATTTGGTGTGACCCCGATAATACTACAAGTCATTCCCAGAAAAATCATATTTGTTAATAGATCAGGATTTTATACGTTTGGGGTAGTTTACTTTCTCTTCTGCCTCCTCAATGACCTTTGAAAAATGATTCAATACCCACGTATACCCAATCGACTATTTGCTACAGTAAGAAAACCAGGGTCAAGACCAGCCTTCAGCCCTCAATTCTTGAAAAAAATTGTTATGGTAAACTTATTCACTATAGTACTACACTCAATATAAATTAAAACTAATCAACGTATGCCTTCTTACAATAAAATTAAACAAAAAGAAGGTCTTCATTGTTTAAGAATGAAGATCGTACACCTGCATTTAGTCAGCTCTCAAGCGTGGGGCCGTGATAACTCTATGCAAATGAGAAAGTATCGCGGCGATGTGTGAGTTTGACGGCTTTCTTTGAGATGGTGTCTCCTCTTGGGTCCGAAACCAGAAGATTTTACGATTGCACTACCCGACTAAATAATCAGTTTATAGTTCAAATATATATTGTATATAGGCTTAAATTTATTTAATTTTAGTATCACGAACTATTGGACAGCAAAAAAAAACTTTGAGAAATGTTTGAAGTAGATTCAATTATTTACTTCCTAATATCTTCTCTCACTAGCTTAAATACATTAAAATTCTTTATCATTCATCCCGTCATTTCTACTTGGCCTATAAATCTTAATTGAATTGAACTCATTGAGCAAGAACTAGTATCCCATGTCGATCTTGTTAAAATAAAAACTGTAGAATTTCTAGTGTGAAGTGCGCGCATAAAAATATTTAACGGATATGACGTGGTGAGCCTGCTCAGAGCGCGCGCGTAGGAAAAAGGTGTTTCGACAAAAAAACTGATGTCCTTAAACGTCTTCATACCCGGGAAGATCCTTTTAGAGTAAATTTATATTGCCAGTCTCTTCATGACCATCGTGCGCATTTAACTTACTATCGAGGCATCTGTCTTAAGCCTGCCTATACTTTGGCCGAGGGCATCAGCAACTCAAATGGCAAAAAATGATACCAATAAAATATATGAAATTTTTGGCTTACACAGAAGCTAGAGCATTTATTGCAAAGACCTACCGACCGACAGCCCTACTAAACACCATTGGAAAAGTCCTTGAGAGAATAGTCGCCAAACGCATCTCAAGCGCTGCCGAAATGCACAATCTTCTTCCAGAAGAACAGATGGGGGCGCGTCCCAACAGATCTACGATCTTGCCAGCTAAGCTTTTGACCGAACAGATCTACGATATCTGGGGGAATAATAAGAAAAAGGTGGCATCTATCCTCAGTCTAGACATCTCTGGAGCTTTTGATAATATATCCCACGAAAGACTCATTCACAAAATGAGGCTAAAATAAATTCCTAAATGGATCACTAACTTTACGAAGTAATTTCTAGAAGAGAGGACTACCTCAATAGTCCTTGGATCGTATAAAGAAGGAAGCATTAACACAAAAACAGGGATACCTCAGGGCTCTCCGCTTTCCCCATTTCTCTTCTTATTCTTCGCTTGCACCTTACTCCATCTACCTCAGACAGAATCGTCTTCAGCGATCGGATTTGTGGATGACACCAATCTGATAACATGGTCAAACACAACTGAAGAAAACTGCCGCAATCTGGAGGAACTCCACGAAAAATGTGCTTCATGGGCTACGAAGCATGGGGATAAATTTGCACCAGAGAAATATTAGCTAATGCATTTCTCGAGGGCCCGGAAACGCCATAACCTGAACGCTACTGTCCAAATGCAGAGTCATGAGATTACCCCCAAATTGTCTCTTCGATTTCTTGGAATCCAGTTAGAATCCAAGTTAAACTGGGCATCCCATGTTAAAGGATTACAAGCAAAAGTGGAGTCACAGATGCAGGCATTGAGTCGACTAGCTCAGTCAACATGGGATGCAAATGTCAACAAATCACGACTATTATATTACTCGGTAGTAAGACCAGCGCTTACCTATGGATCCCCTATCTAGGCCAGAGCTGGACCGGCAGGCAACATCTGTAACGGCACGGCATTTTGCCCTGTCATTACATATATATCAGGTGACCAAGAAGGTATGCTCGGTAAGGAGTCAATATGCGTGAGGAGATAAGATAAGGTGTTATGAATTTGTTAGATTTAATGTGGATGTGGTGATGCAGGGGTTATCTTCTTAATTCGGTTAGGACTGAGGCAACGGGATTTGGATTTGTTCTTTAGTTCTAACAACTTTTTGTTTTGTGAATAATTTGCTTATTGGGAACTCGATATTTTGATAATATGATAATCTGAACATATGAATTTGTAACTTTGATAATCCGAGCCTCGATCACCTTCATTTGTCTTCTCGTGATCAATTCGCACTTTCACACCTTCGCACCTTCGTAACCTCTTAACTTCATAGCCTCGAAACTTCGATAATTTGTCTTCGTCGCAATCGACTCGACCTCTGCAGCTTAACAGCTTCGAAAATCTACCGATAAGTAGATTCATAACATAAGGTCACGCGATCCTGGGAAGCGAGAGGACACACACAAAAGCCCACAGATTCTTTTGTCATTAGATATTCTTTCTTTTTTCCTTGTCTTAGTATTCGCTCAATAGATTGAATATATGGTTATACAAGCTGTAATTTCACTTGTGCTTATTCTATGCCGTGATATAATACGAAGACCACCGAAACCACTCAACGCGACCTCTGCAGGGAGGTAAAATACTAATTGCGGACTCGGTGGCGTGGACAGCTAATAGCTCACACCATCCGGACAGTCATTACCCATTTACCTCAGGGAAGAGACAAGATTTTAAGCCTTGAATAGATTACAAGGCCACTTTATTCATTATTGAGATACATCACCCAATTATTTACGACCGGCTCCTATTGTTGTCAAAAACCGCTCATCACACTCCCTTACATGTGGCAAAAAATCGCACTCAACAGCATGCCGGCCCCCACCACCTCCAAAGTTGGCAAGAGAAGAGCTAGAGCGGAAGATTCGGAGAGCTGGCCTAGAGGAGATTTCAAGAAATCGGTCTTTGCAACTCGTGCGCCGGGAGATGAGGAGAAACACCACACCGTACCGGAACTCCCAAGGAACAAGCCTGTAACCGAATGTCACAGTCTAAGCATAGGCACTTGGGCAACCGTATGGTCAGAGGTAGTTTTAATTTCAATCTATGGTGAACTACAGATTGAAGAGGATAATAACAGTTACTTTATACATGATTATTATCCCAGCCAATGACACAGATTTCTATCCGTATATCTGTATTCCCTACTCATATCCCCTACTCGTATCACATTCTCGTGCCCCATCCCCGGACGTGTTACAATACTAGTATTGCCACTTATAAGGCCCTCCTTGTTTCATGCTAAGCCTGCGTTAGACAGCGCAGGCTACAGGCAATTACCGGCCTACAAGCCGTCACACAGGACAAGTTTACAAGATGATGCAGAGGATGGATATAATCTTGACAGGCGTGAAATTTTGAATTTTGGCAAGGAGTTTTACAAAATAAGTTTTATGCGCGCCGAGACTTCGCTTGCAAGAGTGCAGCTGTTGGTAAAACACGAAGTAATACAAATTGGGTGCTGTCACAAAGTCAGCTGTCCATCACAAAGTCAGTGAATAATGTCAATTAACTGGTATCTTGATATACACAAAAACGTTGTCTCCTCTTTCCTTCTCCCTCTGCCATTTCTTCCTCTACTCCAAGCGCCTCGCTAATGAGCTAAATCAGATCCCTGCCAAAGTCCTGATGACATCCTTAACACCGCAATTACTTAGAACAATTCATAACGCCCAAGTATAATCCTTTTACCAACAGCAGCTGACACTACAAAAACAAGTCAACAATGGAAGGTGTTCTCCGGTATAGTTTGAGTAGCCTAGGCACCTACTCAACTTGGGGTGAAGAAAAAGCCGCCATAACTTCACAGTGGTACTTGCAAATGAAATCTGAGGCATGAGTGCTCCTCTTGTAAATTGAGTCATATTTTCTGTACTTTTT